TCCAATGTGGATCAGAAGTTTTCAGACTTTCTCCTTAGGTCTGGAATCTTCTAAGAATGATTTTGGCCTCAGGAACTTGGTTGTTGGATTGACTTGAGATCCTGGCTGTGGCCATGCCACACAGGGATGCAAAGGTGGATGGGGTGGGAATAAGCCCCAAGATTTCCCAGGGAGTGGATTTAGTAGCTGGGTTGTACTGGATGCAAAGGATCAGGGAGAGGAAAGGTAAGCCTCGGAGCCCCAGAAAGAGGCTGTCAGCCCCAGAAAGAGGCTGGCGGGTGTTGCAGGACCAGGGAAGTAGTGGGAGGTGAGGGCGGGGCCAGGTCCAGAAGCGGTGCTCCTGGGTCCCAAGAAAGGCACTAAGTTGTTCTGCGTGAGAAGGGTCATGAAGCAGTATTGGTCCCCCCCGCCCCGTGTCTGGGGCCCCAAGACTAGGAATGGCGCAGGTCCCAAACTAGGAGTAGTGAACAGCGAGGGAGATGGAAGGGTGAATGTGGCTTAGGGAGTCGAGGTTCAGAGAGCTGCGCTATAGACTTACCCCAAGAGGCCTGAGGATTGGAGTGCAGGCTAGGAGAGTTAGCCGGTGGTGCAGGTCCAGAGATGCAGAGAGAGGTGAGGGTGGGGCCAGGACCAGAAGCGGTGCTCCTGGGGCCCAAGAAAGGCACTAAGTTGGTCTGGGTGAGAAGGATCAGGAAGCAGTATTGGTTCCCCCGGTGTCTGGGGCCCCAAGACTAGGGATGGCGCAGGTCCCAAACTAGGAGTAGCAAACAGCGAGGGAGATGGAAGGGTGAATGTGGCTTGGGGAGTCAAGGCGCAGAGAGCTGCGCTATAGACTTACCCCAAGAGGCCTGAGGATGGGGTGCAGGCTAAGAGAGTTCAAGCCTTCAGTTTTTAACTATTAGGGCTGAAGAGATGGTTCAGCAGTTAAGAGCACTGGCTGCTCTTCCAGAGGATCCATGTTCAATTCCCAGCACCCACATGGTGGCTAACAACTGTCTGTAATCTAGTTCCAGGGGATCTGATGCCCTCTTCTGGTCTCCTTGGCCTTTACATGACACAGGTGTACTTACATGCAGGCAAGACATTAATATACATAAAATAAATTAAAAAATTTTTAATTTTAACTATTCATTTTTTTGAGATGATTTTATCATGTAGCCTAGGCTGGCCTTAAACTTGTGATCCTCCTGTCTTAGTTATCCAAGTGCTAGAATTACAGATATGTACCACCACTCCCAATAATTAATGATGTTTTTAATACAGCACTATGTGTGTGTTTAGAATGACCAGACTTTTCATCAGAAGTCTCTTATGTTACACAGCATGGCCTGTTGTATTTACCTGCCCACGCCTAATATTCTACTGTTCAGGAGACTGACCAGAGTACTACACTGACTATTGTTTTATTGTATATTATCACTCTCTAATCTGACACATCCTCTGTGGCCTACCAGCAATTGAAGTAGTTGGATAGTATAAAAATGTATTTTGTCTTAACAATTTTATAAATTGGTTGTGAAATTTTAGGCTAGTAAACCATGGTCTTCACACTGTTACGGATTCTGTAAAGTAAGTTTGAGTTATCCCTGTCCACTCTAATGAGCCTTCCATCACAGTTGAAGTTTCAGATCTTCCTCCATGTTGTGGGTATCCTTAGTCCCACTGAGTAGGCAGCTATCGTGTTCTTCCATTATTCCAGTCTAGTGGGGTTAGTTATGGTGGAATTTAGTTAAGGGTGGGAAAGAGCCGATTCACAGCCTGTGCCCCGGGTCGTCAGCTTGCCCATTGATATTAATCTGCAGCAGGTAAATGGCCATTCTCGGGGCCTACAGAAGATACAGAAATGACTACACATTAAGGATGAGGTTAGAGATGGATATGAAAAGTAGACAACCTCCTGCCTCATCTAAAAGATTCAAGTGTGAGAAGAGGAAAAGCAGGATGCATACAAAAACTATGGTCCAAGGCTCAAGGGGAGCAAGAGATTACCTGTAAGAAAGGACTAGACGTTTCCTCCCACAGGTTGCAGTTTATCTGGCCTTAAGGTGAGTGCTGCCTGAAAAAGGCATTTCAAAAGAGTAAGCAGAATGAATTGCCCACAGGGTTGGAAAACACTGGCTGTGTTTTAGAAGCAGTAGACAGTCCCCTGTGGCTACAGGGTGGTGTGTGTATTAGGGAAGTCTGTGGACTATGTGATGGTACTGTACCCAACAACAGAAGCCATGAGTCATCGCTGGCAGTGTTACTTACAGTTAACTTACAATAAAGTGTATGAATAGGATCTGTGATTGCAGTATAGATTGAGTTCTTTTAAAAATATTTTTATTCTCTGAGAATTTCATACAGGTGTTTTGATGACACCCCCAATCTCCTCCCAGATCCAACCCCACCTCTCTACTCACCCAACTGCATGCCTTCTTTTTTCTAAAGCCCATCAAATTCAATTTGTATTGCCCAAATAGGTTGAAAATCTTTTATCTGAAGGCTTGGGATTGCAAGTGTTACCATTTTGGACAAGGGTTGCTTACCTTGTCCCACATTTCAAGGACTCCTTAGTTTCCCATCTGTATCCATTTTTCAGAGGCTGTAGTTGCGGTGTGGGAATATTCAACTGTAGTCCAAGTTTCTTTCAGTGGGTTATTTGGAGAGAGTATCTATCTGTCTGTCTGTCATCCATCTATCTATCTATCTATCTATCTATCTATCTATCTATCTATGTATCTATCTATCTATCTATCTATCTATCTATCTATCTATCATCTATCGATCGATCTATTGATCTATCATCATCTATGTATCTATCATATATCATCCATCTGTCTCATCTATTATCTATCTGTCCTCTCTCTTTCTATCATCTATCTATCTATCTATCTATCTATCTGTTGATCTATCATCATCTATGTATCTATCATATATCATCCATCTGTCTCATCTATTATCTATCTGTCCTCTCTCTTTCTATCATCTATCTATCTATCTATCTATCTATCTATCTATCTATCTATCATCTATCTATCTAATCTATCAATCATTTATTTTTGAGACAGGGTCACCCTGTAGCCTCAGCTGACCTGAAACTTGCTATGTAGACCATGCTGGCCTTGATCCTGCAGAGATCCGCCTGCTTCTGCCTCCTGAGTGCTAATATTAAAGGTATGCACCACCATGCCCAGCAAGAGCATCGATTTTAAGATAAGGATTCTAAAATGAGTAAGTGATTAAAAAGGAAACTTTCTGTGTTTCTGTGGAGTCTCAAATCTTTATTCTTATTTTCCCTTTAGTTACACATGTTAGAAGAAGATTTGTTATCCTTGAAGTCTCCTTCAGAAGAAAATATTGCAGATGTCTTAGAAGCCTACCATGCAGAGGTAATCTCATGCATGTTCTAACCTTAGATTTTAATTCATGGGGAGGGTGAAGTGATAACAATTAGCAGTGAGTAAACATTGTGCTTTGTGACTATGGATTAATGTATTGGGGATTATTTAAAACTTGGTGGGAGGACTGGAGCGCCAGTGTTAGGATAGACACTAATCTGAAATGGCGGCCTCTTACTGTACAACTGCATGACTTGTTTTTTGAACTTCAGTGATTGGCCCCTTGAGGAGCTCTTGCAAGAGCTTTTTCAATGCTCTGTGGCATTTCTATAACAGAGACTCAGTGTTCAGACTATTTGTGGAGCTGCTAAAGTGAAACTCTAGGAAGTATCTCTAATAATAAAACATAATGCAATGTTTAATTCCTTACTTAGGCTCCCTAACTTAGATTTTTCTATAAATATGGAGAATAGAAGCTGGAGAAATAGTCAATAAAGTGCTTGTTGTGCAAGTTTGAAGAGCTGAGTGTGATCCCCAGCACGCACATAAAAAGCCAGTCATGGCTTATGACTCCAACTCTAGAGAGGTGGAGACAGGCCCGAGGCAGGTGGATCTCTAGGGCTTGTTGGATAGCCAGCCTAACCTAATCAGAAGCTCCACATCCCAATGAGAGACCCTGTCTCAAAATGTAAAGCAGATGGCACTTAAAGAGGAATGATACCTGAGTTTGACTTCTGACCTTCATAAACGTACACCCATACACATGTATGCTTACCTACTCCCTCCCACCTCCATTCATTTACAAAACTAAAAATCTTTAAAAATACCTCACAAGGGTTTAGAGAGATGGCTGCTTTTTGCAGAGGACCAAGGTTCAGTTCCCACCACTCACATGGTGGCTAACAACTGTCCGTAGTTCCGTTCCAGGGGATCCAACACCCTCTGGAATGGCCCCCATGGGAATTGCACACACATGATGTACTTACATACATTCAGGCAAAACCCTCATGCATATAAAAAATAATTGAATGAATGAAGAAGTTTTTTTTAAAAAAATCACCACAAATTTTAATTTTACATCATTTATTGAGTATATAGTTCTTAAAATTCCTCTAAAATTGTAGTAAAGGAAGGAAAAAGGCATTCACCAAGTCAAATCAAATAAAAGAGGAAACAAAAGCAGACATGATGTCAATATAATGGCAGCTTCAAAGAAGGATTTAACTTAGATGTGAAAATATTGAAATGATCGCTCACTGTGGGAAGCCAGTATGAAGAAAACTGAGTCCTGCTGGAGAGCCCTTTAAAAGAACAGAACCCCTGAAGACTAGTGCAGTGAGGTGGGAGTAGCACAGTGGGAGAGTGCTTGCCTAGTATGTACAAAATTCACTAACACTGCAAAAAAGGAGAAGACAAGGGGGAAGAAGGGAAGGAGAAACTGAGAGGAAGAGTGGCGGGAGTGAGAGAGACAAAAGCAGGCGGTGCGCTCAGAGAAGAGACACTATGTGAGGCAGAAAAATCATAAAATTGTCTTGTACCTTTTTATAAGCACAGTTAGACCTCAGAAAAGTCTAGCCAAGGGGCAGGAATAGGTGAGGTGCTATACAGAAAAGAGTCAGCACATACTAAGTGGGAAAACTCATAGCCCCTTTGAACAGCAGCAGCCTTGCAGATCTCATGTCTATTATCCTACTCCCAAGAAAAACAGTGAAGGAAAACGCTTTTGAGTACTGACATTCATGGAGTCCTTAGTGACCTATCCAAGCCCTTGCCTGATCATGTAATACAATGTTCAATTGTTAAATTGTGGTGGACATTTCATAATTTAAAGATAAATGAGTATTATCAAAATTGCTAAATTTGTTTTTAATTTTATTATTTTTCTTTTATGTGTATTGAGTGTTTTTCCTCCATATATGTAAGTGCACTTATGTTGTGCAGAAGAAGGTGTTGGATTCCCCTGGAACTGGAGTTACAGACGGTTGTTAACCACCATTCGAACCTGGGTCCTCTGCAAGAGCAGTCAGTGGTCTTAATTGCTGAGCCATCTCTCCAGCTCCCCAAATGCTAAATTCACAAGTATAAGAAGGGAGAAATATAACCAACAGGGCACAGGCTTCAAAACAATAGTTTGATGGGAGCTTAGCGTTAAAAGCTATATAGGGACAGGAGAGATGGCTCAGTGGTTAAGAGCACTGGCTCCTGTGGCAGAGGACCCAGGTTCAGTTCATAGTACCCACACAACCATTGAAAACTCCAGTTCTAGGGAATCCGATGACCTTTTCTGACCTCCACAGGCATTGCATGCACATGGTACACTTACATGCATGCATGCAAAATACTCATATACATAAGATAAAAATAAATCAAAAATATTTTTAAAGAAATTCTAAAAATAAAAAAAAGCCCTGCTTTGACGCCCAGCTAGTACTGTTTCTATACAGACAAGGACAGAAGAACCCTATTGTCCTTTGCTGTGATCCAGTCTCACCTGCCTATAAGTGTGTGTTCTACACTTTAATGACCTTGGTAAATTGGAATTTGTTCATAAGAAGGTACCTGGATTGTGAGAGGTCAAGACATTGTACCATGTGAGACATGGTCAAGGTAGTACAGAGATTAACTAGAATTGCAAACACAAGAGGACTGAGTCCTGGTGAGAGTTAACTGTAGTTGTCAAGCACCTGGAAGCTCCTCCCTGAGGTAGTTTTCCCTCCTAAGGCAGAGCTGCTGGGATGCCGGCTTTGCAGTAGGGATTTCGAGCTCAGATGAAATTCGGCAGGATGTTGCTCAGGCCTCAGGTCCTAGGTCCTTTATTCTTAGATTCAAAGAAACATCTAGATGATAATAAAAATACAAGAGCATTTCTACGTTGACACTCTGAAGAGCTTGTCTGCAGTGCTAGATATTGTCTGAATTTTGAGAATATGGTGGTAGTTATTTATGAGAGTGTCAGATATAATTTGAATGAAAGTGATAATCTGTCATAAAGTGTATCATTAAATGTGATGAAAATTTTAAAGATTTTTAAAGAGACTTGAGACATTTGAAATTATCTCTTTTCAAGCAGTCCATGATGGATCGAGGCAAATCTTTTATACTTGAAGAACACATGGACAAAATAAACAGGTACTTTAAAAGAGAGCTGAATTATATCTGTTCCTTTGGGAAGGCTACATTAAATTGAATTTGCTCACATTGTAATTATACTGTGTTTGATAATGCACCACATTCTGAGATCAGGTAGCATCATGCTTTTTATTTTCATTTACCTTTGAAAGTAACTTCTTGCCTATTCTTCTGAGGGGGAATAATTATGTATTTCGGTAATCTCCCATGCTAACTCATTTTAGTACAAAATATCTCTTTTTAAAATGGGGAAGAGAGGCCAGACAATAACAGCTGAATTAACTTATCTTTTATCTTCACAAAGTCATCTTCTCTGAAGGTGTTATTAAGCCCATCAGCAAAAGGGTTTGTGCTGTGGTTTGAGAAACTAACAGAATGGCCTAAGCAAGGAGAAGATTCGGAGACAATGTTCCTATCTCTGTTTTCAAAGCATGAGGTTTTCATAGCTGATATAATGTATTTAAATAGAAATACCATCAGTGTCTGATAGCAAAAGAAGACTTGGGTTTTATTTTGCACTAGTGATAGTAGACTGCAAACACCCTTACCCACGGAAGTAACATTTATCTCCTCACTTGGAAGACACATTGAAGTCTTCATTATCAGAATGGGACTTGGGGAAAGCCAATGTTTAGACTCACTGGTATCTACTTGGGTAGTGGTAAAATCACATTTTCTTTTTCATAGGTGTTTCTCAGCCAATACTGTGGAACAGATTATTGAAAACCTACGGCAGGATGGTTCACCTTTTGCCATAGAGCAGTTGAAGGTAATGTGTGGATCCTTTCTGCCCTGAGTAAGTCTAGTGACAGCTCAGAACAGGGAAGCCTCTCTGAGGGGTGTCAGTACTCTGATGGTGACATAGTGAGCCTCAGAAAGCAGCTTTTCTCAACCTTGAAACACCCAAGTGTCCTGTCAACCTCTTGCCTGCTGAGAGCCAAGGGAAGCTGGTTTTATGACCTTTGAATGTAACAGAAAGGTCTGTGGTAGCAACAATACATTTCTAAATAGTCCTTCTCTTGGGAGAGGAGATTATAGAAGCATTTTATTAGAACGGTTGGGTCACCTGGTGATATATTACAGTGGTGATTTAACCTATAAATTATGTTTAATATGCAAGGTAGTCTTTAATTAAGAGATTTAATGAAGAAGCTCTCCTGTTTAAGCTAGCAAGCCTCCATCTACTGCCACACTAGAAGAGTCTTAAATGGTGTTTTTCAGAGTTAGAGACACTGGACTTTAACACATAACTTTTAATAATGGTATAAGTGAGTGCACGCTGGGGCCGGACACCCTTGGACCTATCATAGGATTGTGAGACATGGAGAATTTCAGAATTTGAGACAAGAAAGAAAAAGTGTGTTTCCTTATACCAGAAAGGTATTTTACCTTGTTTCATCTCATAGATTCATCCACGATGTGCTTGCATGGCAGCAGGTTGTTTGTTATTGGTGTAATCATCCTTCATTGTATGGTAACTCACATGGACTTTGTTCTGCTGTTAGACATCTGGGGTCATTTACAAGTTTTTATTATAACAATTAGTGCTGCTCTGAATATTTTATGTATGTCTTTTGGTAACATAGATTCGTGTTTCTGTTGATATACTCACAGACTCTTGAAAGATCACTAGTCTTGGTCATATCCATTTTGATTATTTATTCTCAAATAATTTTCCAATATGGTTGTTTCAGATTATGTTTGAGTGCTAGTTGGCTCTACATTCTTACCAACATATGACACCATTTCTTTTTTCATTTTGGTCATTCTGGAGTACATAAAATAACATTGCGTTGTGGTTTTAACTTGCATTTCCATGATGACTGATAAAGTTGAGCACCATTTCATATATTTATATATTTTTTTCTTATGAAATGCCTCTTAAATCTTTATTATATTACTGATTTGTAAGAATTCTTTATATATTCTGGCTATAAGTCAGTGCTCTTTACTGCTGAGCCATCTTTCCAGCCCTGTTTTGTGTACTTAATTTCATCTTTATTTTTTTCCCTTTTATCTTCTTTCCTCCTCTCCTTCCCTCTCTTCTGTATTCCTAATATTCCTTTTTCTCTGCCCTCCAACTTCTAAAACTGGCTTATACCACTAGTAAAATTTGGTAGACGTGATGAGAGCCATTTTTGTCATCTTCCCACTCTGAAGGGGGAAGCTTTTTCAAAACACTATAAAGCTGTTGATTGCTGTAGGTTTCTTGTGGATATTCTTTGTCAATATAAGGAAGATCTTTCTATTCCAAGTTGGCTAAGAGGGTTTTTTACATTAATTATTGTTCTGAATAAGTGTTGAATTTTATCATTCATACTTTTCCCGCAACTATTGATGATCACATGATTTTAACCTGTTTTTTGCTAATACGGTTTACTATAGTAGTTCTCTCTGTGTATTCATTCAAGTGTTTGTGCTTGAATCCAAGGCCTTGTGTGTACTAAGCAAGGGTTCTACCAGTGAGCTGTATTAGACCCCTGCAGTAATTAATTTTTGATGATCAAAATAATCTTAATTCTTGAAGAAGGACAGTTTTATTTTTGCTTTCCTGTTATACATGTTGCTTTCTGTGTTCTGAGAAATGTTTACCTACTCCCAAGATGCAAAAAGAAAATCTTGTTTCTTCTGAAAGAAGAATCTTTTAGTTGCTGCTTTTCTATATTGATCTACATCTGTCTCAAATTACTTCTTGTATATAGTGAGATGTAGTGGTCTAAGTTATTTTTCTCATCTTGTTTTACAACTGTTGAGTATAATTTGTTCAAAAGATTTTCTTGGATTGCATTGGTACCTTTCATCCAAAATGAAATGACAGCATAGGTATGGGTTTGCTTCTGGAACAATGATTGCCTTTTGAGTGGAGAACTAATGTAGCATTCCAGAAATGAAGCCCCATTAGGTTATGTATTATATGTGTATGTACTACTGAGTTTGACTTGCTGATATTTGTTTAGGGTTTTTGCACTATGTTTATGAGAGAGATTGGTCAGTAGTTTCTCTTGAAATTCCCGTGTGTTTTTTCTGGTAATAATATGCTAAACTCATAAACCAGTTAGGCAGTGTTCCCCCTTTTCCTAAGTTCTATGGAAGAGTTTGTGTGAATCCACGATCACTGAGTCCTCTAAATCTGAAGTTTCCTTTGTGAGGAGGTTTATATTTAGGAACTAAATTTCTATAATAATATAGGAAAATCTGGGCGAGGGTGCACAGGCCTGTAATACCGGTTACTGGGGAAGCAGGAGGACCTGAAACTCAAGGCCATTCCAGGCAACTCGGTGAGCCCTTGTCTCAAAATAAAAAGTGAGAAACAGAGCCTGAAAATAGCTCAGTGATAGAGCACTTAGCAGGCACGCATGAATTGAGGTTCAGTCCCCATTATTGAAAAAAAAAATTACTCATTTAAGTGGTCACATTTATTAGAACAGCTACTCTTACCTTTTGATGCCTGTATTTCCTGTAGGGATCTCATTTTCTTGCCGCCCCCCCCCCCCCCCCCCCCCCCCCCCGCGATCTTTATATTTCAACGTGTAGGGATCTCATTTTTCTAGTCCTCCTTCCCCTCTATCATCCATGTTTGTTTTTTGATCTTTATATTTTCAACCTCTTGGTCAGAATTCTTAGTTGCATATAAAAGAATAAATACTTAGTACTTTAAGCAGAAAGTTTTCTTAGGGGGCATAGCTCACAAAAGCTTTGGGAAACTCAAACAAAAAGTTTAATTTTACCCATAACAGAGAGAGATTTTCCCTGGAAGGAAACTATTAAGATGTGGAGGAAGTGTTCAAAAGAATTGGGCAGGAATAAAACAAAAGGCTTTACTGTAAACCCTGTAATGTAAAATGCATGCCTTTAATCCTAGCACTAGGGAGGCAGAGGCAGGTGGATCTCTGTGTGTTCGAGGACAGCTGGGGCTACAGAGAAACCCTGTCTCAAAAAGACCAAAAAAAAATTAAAAAAGATGGGTGCTTACTTTGGGTTTTGATATCTGGTGATTTGACATGTTATATCTTTATGGATATCTTAAAAAGTAGTTGGATAAACTCAGATTTTCTTTTGGAAAATTCAGTCACTTAAGAAGCTTCTAATTGTAGTAGTTCTGGTTTATTTTTCTTTTCTGTGTACCTTCTGCCCCCGTAGAAAACACTATTTCTGCTTCACATACTTTCTCTACTCTTTTAGGTAATTTATGGTGTAACCTGGTTTGTATGACTTATTTCTCTTCTACCTTGCAAGTATTTTTAAAACATTGGCTATTGAAATTAAAATATTTTGCAGTATGATACGAACAAATGATTTATCCTTGTCCTCTGAACTCTGTAATGTGGAATCTACAGGGAATATTACTGTCAGTGTCTTACTTATACTTTCCCTGGATAGTATTTTTAGCAGTTCAAAGAAAGTTTTTAGAAATAGAAGAAACTTTAGTTTTTTGCAGGGAGACTAGAAAGTTCACTTTGTAGCATATCAGTAGATTTGAAATATGTCATGGGCTTTCTTCAGAGGAGAGCAGATTTACACCTATGGACATTTATCCAATACCATTCTAGATTATTTTGAATTAGAGGACAAGTTGATTTGGTTTCTTAATCTCTCATTTCCCGATTGTTGCCTCTACTCAATTGAAGTTCCTGTCAGCTTTATGTCTTATGCATTTAAAAAAAAGAAACAATCATCTAACTGTGCATGAAATCTAAACTTAAAAGTTGTGTATGAGTTAGGGCTTTCCACAGAAACAATGATTGGTAAATACATGTGTGTACAATGTAAATATTTGATGTCTAGAAAGAGACTTCTTAGAAGGTACTGTGGTCAAGTAACTACAGAGATGTATAATTCATAACTGGCTGTCAGCAATCTGGGGACCCAGGGGAAACATTTGATGTAGTTTAAAGACCTGAGAGAGAGAGATTCATGAGTGTAGATTCCAAGCCAAGTTTGATGTTCCAAGGAGACTGGTATTCTATCCCAAGGAATCAGGCAGAGGCACCATCCAGTCTCTTTCCACCTCTGTTTTATACTCTAGATGAACTGGATGCCTTTCACCCACAGTGGGAAGGGTCATTTGCCTCACTCAGGCCATGGATTCAGTGCTAACCTCATCCAGAAACATTACAAGGCAGGGAGAGAGATACAGTTGGGATGGTGAATTAAGAAATAGTTAAAGCCTCCTGTGACCCTTTTTCTTAAGCTGCCATCCTGACTTTGTGTTCTTCCTTGCCATCACAATTACAAACAGGTTTTAGTCACTTCTGATTACCTGATTACGGTGCTCTCCTCCCTATGACTTTTCTTTTGGACCTCCCTTTGTACTGCTTCGTACACTTCTAGAAGGGGCTTGGCTTTGAAGTTATTAGCCTTTGGTTTGCATTCCAGCTTTTACTTGGACTGGTTCATATCAGGGCCTGGTTCCCTCATCTGTGAAAAATGATTATACTTTCCGAAGAGTAATTAAGCATATTCAGATACTTCCCTGAGAGCAGAAGGAAATGTGCTCAATAAAGTCTTCCTTCCTTTCTCAATTTTGTGGAGTTTGACACACTGCTCTACCCTTTGCTGCCCTGCCATTTGAGGCAATTCCCTCATTTACAAATGTGGTGGGCTGGATTACAGCTCAAAGCTCTCTGGTCCTAGAGACTAATCCCTAAACATCTGTGATAAACTGTCCTCATACTAAGAGCTTTTATGTGGGTCTCTCCCTCCTCTCGTGGGCCGTTGGCCACCAACCCTTGAGAACAAAGGGAGCAGAAGCGACAAACGGGGTCAGGATGGCCAGTGAGCATGACAGAAAAGACCTTCCGGGGAGTCAGATTCAGTGATAGAGCTCCATTTATTCAGTGGGGGTCAGGGAAAATATAGTGTGGAGGCAGCAGCCAAAGCTTCAGCTGATAGGTGCTCATAGTATGCTTTATTTACATGTGGTAGAGGGATCCTATCATCTGGCTATAGGGCAATGCCTAATTGTAATATAGAAAAAACCTGGGGGCAGTTTTATTGCAGGTAACTATGCCAAAGGTCATGTTCCAAATAGGGTCAGGCATCCGTGCTTGGAGGCACTTTCCAGGTAAGTCAGGCAAAGAACAGGAGGCCCCCGCTGAGAAAGGGAGTCCTTCCATATAGCGCCGAGCTCCTTAGAGGTATCCAGACATGGTGGACTGCAACCTTAGCAGCAGGGTCCCCCAACACTTTTAGAAACTGTAAGGATTGTCAGTTCACCAGCTTCTAAGAATGTAATATCTGTTGTTTGAAAACATCTTTTTGTAGTTAATAGATCATGAAATGTCTAATTGAGCAGAGCTTTTTGAATGGCATTTTCTTCCTATTTGTTCATGTGGGTGACAAGGATGAGTAAATGAGACTTTAAGTGGCCTTTCTTATTAAATCAATTGGTAGCTAGCAAAGAAGTACATCAAAAAGAGATTTTTTTTTTTTCATTTTATAAAACACAAAATGGGGGGGCTGGAGAGATGGCTCAGTGGTTAAGAGCATTGGCTGCTCTTGCAGAGGACCCCGGTTCAATTTCCACATGGCAGCTAACAACCATCTGTAACTCCAGTTCCAGGGGATCCTACACCCCATTCTGACCTCCCCAGGCATTCACAACACAGGTGCACATACATACATGGAAGCAATATGCTCATACACATAAAATTAAAATAACAAAATATTTTTTTAAAAAGCAAAATGGACAGTATGAGCAGTGAATTATTATGGCAGTGCTGGGGGGTGTTGGCTTGCACTCCACAGGGATGTTGGAAAGGCAGATGTGACTTTCTTAACTTTGGAGACTAGAAAAGCCAGAAAGTGTTGTTCCTTTAAGTACAACTTTTAGGGAGTTGGAGAGATGGCTCAACTGTTAAGAGCACTTGCTGCTCTTGCAGAGAACCTGGGTTTGGTTCCCAGCACCCATATGGCAGCTGACAGTTGTCCCTAACTTCAGTTCCAGAGGATCCAATGCCCTGTTCTACCACTTCAGGCATTGGACACATGGGTGTACTTACATGCATGCCAAAACAGTTGCACACAATAAAAGTAAACTTTTTTAATAAAAAAAAAAAATAGGTTTAGTGTTGTGAAGTTCTTCCAGAAGTTCCCCTGAGATAATGTGGGTATTGCTTCCACTAGCGAAAACTAGAGGTTTGTCAATGAAATGGACCCTTTGTGTGCTTGCCAAAGGAGTGGTACAGACTGCTAACAGTGTGTCCCCATTCTCATGACTTATAACCAGAAAGCAAGAACCTGGAGCAGAGCTGCTGTCAGGCAGTACATGCAGAGTGTCCTGAAGCTCCTAGCTTAGGAGGGTAGTTCCTCTCGAAGCAGCAGTCTCATTAAAGGCCCTTTACTGTTGTCTTTCCTTCTCAGCAGCACTGCGCCTGTAGGTAGGCTGCTGACCTCCTCTGAACTTGTCTTGTATAGTAGTCATCTATTTAAGCTCTAGCAAGTGCCCAGACTTCACAGTGTCACAAAGAACAGAATTTCCTGCCTGCACAAAAGCTCTGCAGACTGGGCCCATCAACATTCCATCATGGGTGGGAAGGTAGCACCCAAGGCCCCACCCCTCTTTGAAGAGCTATGGGCAGACAGCCAATGGTTGCTAGAGAAGGGGAGTCATTCCTGAGTGGTGTAGCTACTGTAAATAACCCCTGCCCATACTCATGCAGACAACTCTAAATGAGTGCAGTGAGATATGAAAGTATGAGGGGGAAGAAGGTAGGGGAAAGGGATAAGAGGATAATGGGATCATGATCTAAGTACTATGTGTGTACACATGTGTGTGCATGTGTATGTGACTGTGAAATTTTAAATGTTTTAATTTATTTTTATTTTAAGTATATGAATGTTTCACCTGCATGGATGTAAGTGCACCTGTGTGTGCAGTGCCCAAAGAGGATGTCATATTCCCTGGAACAGGACTTATAAATAGTCATTAGCTGGCATGTGGGTGCTGGGAATTGAACCCGGGTCCTCTGCAAGAGCAGCCAGTGCTCTTAACCACTGAGCCATCTCTTCAACCCCCTGAATAAAGTTTTTTTAAAAGGAAAAAAAAAGAACACTGAACTTACTTTTGAGACAGTCAGCAATCTGCCTGATAACTGTGCATTGTAGTTATAAAGGGAGTACAGGCATGCAGTGGACGTCCTATATTAGCCAGGTAGTCAACAGTCATACAGATGATTTGGAACACTAGTCATAAATAGCATATTTAAATTTAAAACAAGTTATATGCCATTGTAGCTAAAGAGTCAGGTCTGTAATTCTTATTTTTAAATGAAATGTAGAAGAGTGTCCCATATTAACATGAACTGTTTTCTTTTATTCAAGGTGAGTAGAGCTGTTGAGAGGTGAAGGGTCTGCTTCAGTTGAGACACTCAGTCACAGTTGGGAGAGGCAAGCTGCTGCCTCCCTACTTCTTCCTTTTTTACTTATTTTCTTGAGAGCTAAGGAAATGTGCTCAATCAGTTCTTTCATCCCTCCCAGCTTTTCTGGGTTTCTGACACATTGCCCCACTTCACTGCCTTGCCATTTTTGAGGCAAGTTTTTGAGATAAAGTGTCTTCTATGAACATTAAGAGTTGATAACATTTTTCTTAACTGTAATCACTATTTATTTAGCTTTAGAGATAATAATTTATGCCAGGCAAACCCAAAATGTAGACTTATTTTACTAAGCTATAAGTTTTTTCCACTGGTGGGTTGATGGGTTTTATTTTTGTAATGGATTAGAAAAAATTCGTTTGGTGCTTTGGCAGAATTAAGCTAAGGCACAATTTTTTATGAGTTTGGAATATGAAGGAAATTCTAAGGGGAAAATTTATTTTTAATTCTAAATTTTTATTATATATTTTTATTGAATTTTTTTGCATTTAATACATCTTAATCATATTTAGATCCCCTCCCCTATCTCTACCCCACCATAGCCCCCCACTGGATTTCATGCATTCTGTCATTTATGTTAAGGCCTATCAAGTCAAGTTTATGTCCCCAGATGTCCTTTGGTATGAGTTCATTCAGTGGAACCTAGTCAACCTAGATAGCATCACTCCCGTAAAGAAGACCAACTCTTCCTCACCTAGCAGTGATCAGCTGCCCATAGTTCCTCAGCTGAGGTTGGAACTTCTTGTCCATTTCCCCATTTCTATGCTGGGTTTTTGTCTGAGTTGAGTTTGCGTGGTCTTATGCTGTCACCATTGCTGTTAAGTCATATGTGCAAGTTACCAGACACCTAGAAAACTCTGCTTCCTTTGGTTGTCGATCACCCTTGGCTCTTAGAATCTTTCCACCCCCTCTTCTGCAATGGTTCCTGAGCCCTGAGTGGATAAGGTTTAATATAGGAATCCTATCCAGGGAAACACACTCTGCAGTCTTTTATTCTCTACATTTTGGTCAGTTGTGTGTGGTTTTCTGTGTTAATCTTGCTCTGTTGGAAGAGGAAGCTTCACTGAGAGTTGAGAGACGCATTAGTATTCTTTCTACCCTCTAAAGGGAAATTTTAATATGGCTTACATAGAAATTCAGCTTGCTTCTTACGGATAACAAAGGAGCACCTGGGTAAAAATAATATTTTTCCTTCAAAGGTAATTAATAGAATGTCTCCGACATCCCTAAAGATAACACTAAGGCAGCTCATGGAGGGCTCTTCAAAGACCTTGCAGGAAGTACTAACTATGGAATATCGGCTAACTCAAGCATGTATGGTAAGAATTTTTTACAGAGCATTGTTATTTTCTACTTAGGAAAATATATTCATTGTAGAACATGTAAAATACAGAATAGGATAAGCAAGTAGTAGAAGACAGACTATCAAGGCTTGAAGACAAGGTAGAGGAATTGGATCACTCAATCAAAGAAAGTGATCAGTTTTTAAAAACCATGGGGAACATACAGGATTTTGGGTATTCTATAAAGAGACCCAAACTATGAATTATAGGTATAGAAAAAGAAGAAATCAGGTTAAAGGCATAAAAAATATTTTTAATAAAATCGTAGAAGAAAACTTCCTAATCTCTGGAAAGGAGATGTCATTCAGGTGCAAGAGGCATACTGAACACAAATTAGACAGGATCAAAAAAGAAATTCCTCACATCACATGTCAAAACCATAAATGTACAGAACAAAGGAAGGATAGTGAAAGTTGCAAGAGAGAAAGGCCAAGTCACATATATAAAGGCCGGTCTGTAAGATTAACACCTAATTTTTCCCCAGAGTCTTTGAAAGCCAAAAGTACCTGGACTGATATACTACAAATTCTGAAAGAACACAGATGTCAACCCAGACTATTATACCCAGGAAAGTTCTCTGTCATAATTGAAGGAGAAAAAACAAACAACCCACAATAAAAGCAGGTTAGAAGAATTTAAGACCACCAACCCAGCCCCATGAAGGATACTGGAAGGAATGCTGCAGATGAAGAGGAAAAGCATATCCAAGACACAGTGTTTAAGCAATAGGGGACTAGGAAAACAAACACAACAAAACCAACAAAATGACAGGAGTCAATACACATCTTTCAATAATAACCCTGAGTATCAATGATTTAACTTCCCAATCAAACGACACAGGTTAGCAGACTGGATTAAGAAACAGAATACCCAGCCATTCCCCAGTGCAAGTCCATCCACTAAGTCTAGTCAGCCTCTCTAGAGTCCCTTGATTTAGGAAGATCAGCATCTTCTTCATTCAGCACTAATCAGTTGCCAACATCCCTTCAGATAAGATTGAGGGAAGTTTTGAACTGTTCTATATGAAATACACAAAAAATTTAATAAATAAAAAAATATATAAAAAAAGAAACTTTTTTTTTACTTTTGCTACTTCCTAGAAACATGCTTCACCACAAAGATAGACACTATCTGGTAAAAGAGTGGGCACATGTAAATGGGATGAAGAAACAAGCGGGGTTGCTAGACTAATATTGGCAAAATAGGTATCATACTCATCAAAGGAACAGTTCATCAAGAGGACATTACATAGGTGGAGAGATGACTGTGCGGTTAAGAGCACTAGGCTGGTCTTGCAGAGGACCCAGGTTTGAATCCCAGCACCCACATGGTGGCTAAAACCGTCCATAACTCCAGTTCCAGGGGATCCAATGCCTTCTGACCTCCAACGGCACTGCATGACATAGGTGCACCTATGTACATGCAGGCAATACACTCATACACATAAAATAAAAATGGTAAACATTTTTTAAAAGAGGGGACATTACAGTCTAATCATATATGCACCAAACTTGGATACACTCAATTTTATGAAATAAATACTGCTAGACAGTAAAGCCTCTGATGAACCCCCAACACATTAGTAGGTGACTTCATTTACCACACTCTCACCAATGGACAGGTCATCCAGACAAAAATAAAACAAAAATATTACGCTTAAACAACATCACGTATTGAATGGACCTACCTGTTATCTACAGAAATTGCACCCACACACTAGAGAGTACACATTCTTCTCAGAAGCTCATGGAACTTTTCTAAAATATTCCATATTTTGGGACACAAAGCAAACGCAAGAAATACGGGAAAATAACTCCTTGTTATTCAACAGTGGGATAAAGCTAGGTGTCAACAGCAATTGAAACTATACAGATAAATACACATCATTGAATGATGCATGGATCATTGGAGAAATAAAAAAGGAAGTCGAATTGAATAAAATTGAATGAACATGAAAACATGATATACCAAAATCTATGGGAACCAGTGAAGGCAATCCTCAGAGGAAGGTTTGTAGCCATGAGAGATCGTAGCAAGCCATTTCAGAGTGGTAGAGGCAGAAGTTAGAGTGCCATAAGCTGGAGGTGAAATGAAGTGGATGGGATATGAAGAAGAAATGGAGATATGTGTATACGGCCTTTTCTTCTTGAAAAAGAAATCAGTAGAATCTGGTATTATGGGGTTTATTTTGTAAGATGGAAGATAGAAGACTATGGTTATAAATGATTGGGAATGAGCCAAAAGAGAAAAAAGATTATAGTGATACTGGATAACTAGCATTTACTGAACACATAGTATGTGTCAGACACTCTGTAGGACAAGGATTAAAGTAATCTGTGATTGATGTATTGATGTGGCCATTTCATGAAAGAAACTAGGTAATGCTGTCGCTGTGTAGTAGAACACATTGTGAACCCAGGTATGTGAAGGGCGTGCACTCAGCCATTTAGTCACACCACCTCCGTGACAAGGTCTTTCCCAAGAAAAGCTCCTGAGAGCTGGATTGCAGAACACTGACCTTCAAGACAGCGACAAGCGTCTGGAGGCTTGAAAGGGGAGCAGGTGCTTGTGGCTGCACTGGCTGCAGGGGTCTTAGTGCTGAGAACATGTGGTGTTGGGGGCTTCTCTTTTGTTAATGGAGGCTATGTGCTCAGCTGAGAGCCTGAGAAAGGCAGAAGTTGAGAAAGAGATCCACTCCCACGATCTCTTCCATCTTGGGAGTGGAAGAGATCCTCGATTCTGAGCAATTTTCTGTGTCTATTTTAGATTTGTGATTATAAATTATGAATTTCAAGTGAAATTCACATTTCTGTGATTTCTACAGGAAGCTTAAGCTTGAAGGTTCAGCTGGTGCAGGAAATTTGTCATAGTGTAAAGGTTTGAGGGAGCTGAGGACACTTTCCAAGGCAAGTGGTCATATCAGTGGCCTGAGCATCTTGGGCTGGATGAGGAACAAGGTGAAGCCAGCTCGGGTGGAGAGTCTTGGGGTCCGCTGACCTGAGGAGGAGCAAAGGTGTGCGAGTAGACTCGCTTGAGCCATTAAGCTTGGGAGGAAGTGATCAGAGGTGAGTTAAGGTTGGGAGGTTATGATCAGAAGTGAGTTATCAGGAGGGGTCCAGTTTCTGAGTGTCATTGTCAGGTTGCAGTTATGGGAGTCAGATGCCAAGGCGGGTGGAAAGATCATCCAGAGTAAGGCTGCCCAGAAATCACTCCATGCAATCTCAATTTTCTTTCAGGGAGGTCATGACTTTCATGAAGGTGTCAGAGCCGGTAAGTAACAAGTAGTTGTACTTTCTTCTTGACTGTCAGGGAAACAAGATTTGTGAGCATAAACAGTTAATTTGTTTTAGTGAAAACTGAGCTTGTAGAAAGATTGAAAGTTGTATGTGTTTTTTAAGATATATTTGTTTTATATATAGGAAAGTCAGTCTCCCAAATGAATGTTTTTCAAATTCACCTACCTGTCACTGCTTTCTGATGTATGTATCAGAAGTTGTCCTGCCCCTGCATGGATTGTCATGAACTTGTAAACAAGCCCTGCTGCCGAGGCCTTTAAAGGCACATTTATTCTCAGCCAAGAAGCCCTCAACTCCTCTTCTTTTCTCCCTTTTTTTATTGGTCTTGTCTGATCGGGCAGTGGTCAAACCCTGCCTCCCCCCTCCTTTCTTGCAGCTGAGCAGTTAGTATCACTGGGAAAAGACCAGGGCAGTATACTCTACATTTCTGCTTATCATCCCAAAAGGCAGCATATTTAGAAAAAGCAGGATTTTTTTTTCCTCTAGCACACTTGTACAGTTCCTTTTTATACAGAGCCCTTATCTTTATAAAAGAGAGCTGTTCCTTGTACAAAATGAGCTATTTTCTTCTGCATGTATTTTGCATATTTGTTTTTCTGGGTTGTATGTGGGTAGGGTAAGGGAGTTGCTGGATATTGAACTCAGCCATGACTTTTTAAGATGGTCCCTATATAGTCTAGGCTAGCCTTGAACTATCTTCCTGTCTCTGCCTCCCAAGTTTGCCAAAGTTGGAAGGGAGTGATCAGAAATGACTTGAGGTTGGGAGAGGTGCTGGTAAACTCCTCTCTTTTCCCTTCTTTCCCCTTCCTTTCCCTCCTCTCCCCCCCCCCCTTTTCTCTGAGGTACCACTGACCTACATCCTCCAACCCAGAAATATTTTTCTGAATGGAAGGTTATATTTACTGTATTCTAAGATTTGATAAATACCTATTGCTGTTATAAAATTAATCTTAATTTCTGGCATGATTTAATACCAGAAATAAGCACGGGGTTCAAGTCCTTTTGGAAGACTCATGGGTTTGAGTCAGAGCAGGTGGTGGTTATGTTTTTAGAAATAAAGTAAAATATACATTTTCCCTACTAATTCCCTTGATGCATGCAGATGAGGATCTTGGCCTCTGGTTTTAGGAGGACTTGTGTATTGCTTGGGCTTGTTGCTGAAATATTTCTTATATGTTACGATAGCCCTTTAAAAAAAGTTATTTTCAGATATTTTAGGTATTTTTCAGTTACTTTAAGAAAAAAGAATTGAAGTTGATGAGAATTAGAATGCTAAATCACAAAACAAATGCTTGTAAAGCTACTTTTATTTCTAAAATTGAAAAGAATTTTTATTATGAGACAGGTCTCTCTATGTAGGCCAGATGGGTCACAAGCCTGCCATCTTCCTGCTTCAGCATCATGTGTACTGGGATTACAGCCATGCCTGGCTCAATTCACTTTTTTAAATGAGAAAATATGCTGCCTCTTCTTTGAGCATAGACTCTTTATTCAGAGAGTAACATCTGCTCTGGGTAAAACTGTTTAGTGTTCTTGCTACAATTTACTAACTATAAAAATATGTCACCAAATTAGATAAAATAAGTTAGCAAATTAGGAAGATGGTTGTTAAACATCCGTACTCTTACCATCCAGAATGAACTTCTTTCTGGTTATAGAAGATGAATTAGGATAGTAGAGCTCAGAGCTACCACATGCTGCAAACACTGGCTGCCTGCACAGGCAGGACTTGTTATCTTACAAGAAAACAGCACAGATTTGATTAGTATTCTTTCCTTATGTCCTTCAGTGGAATCCCAAGGAGGTAGATAGTATCAGCCTGAGCAGTTAAAGGGAAGGAAAGAGTTGTATGGAAAGAATGTCCCAGGATTAGTCTTTGTTTATACTGACTAGGGACTCACTGCTGATCTGCTTCAGAATTTGACAGTAGACAGTCAAAAGCCTCTGATGGAAACCTGGGTATGGCTGGGTGCACACCTTTAAACCCAGCATTCCAGAGGCAGAGGCAGGCAGATCTCTGTAAGGCTAGCTGGGGCTACAGGGAGACCTTGTGTCAGTAAGACAAAAAAAAAAAAATGGAAAAAGCAAAAAGAAATCTGGGTATGGTGGTGCATTGTGGTGTATGCCTGTAGTCTCCAGCTATTTGGGAAGCTGAGGTGGGGACTGGGTAAGTCCACAAGTTCCAGACCAGCTTGGGCAATGAGAGACCACCATCTTAAAACAAAAATCTCAAAATACCAGAAACAAAACACCCCTCTAATATCCAGATTTTGTTGTACATAAAGCTTCCTTCTGCACAACAAACCCTGCCTCCCACACAAACCCTGCCTCCCCACTCCTTTCTTGCAGCTGAGCAGTTAGTATCACTGGGAGAAGACCAGGGCAGTATATTCTGCATTTCTACTTATCAACTCAAAAGGCAGCATATTTAGAAAAAGCAGGATGTTTTTTTTCTCTAGCACACTTTTACAGTTCCTTTTTATACAGAGCCCTTATCTTTATAAAAGAGAGCTGTTCCTTGTACAAAATGAGCTATTTTCTTCTGCATGTATTTTGCATATTTGTTTTTCTGGGTTGTATGTGGGTAGGGTAAGGGAGTAGCTGGAGATTGAACTTAGCCATGACTTTTTAAGATGGTCCCTATATAGTCTAGGCTAGCCTTGAACTGTCTTCCTGCTTCTGCCTTCCCAGTTTGCCAAAGTTGGGAGGCTGTCACCTTCCTTGGTTCCCAGAATGCTGCTCTAACTTTTTAGCTTTTTATGCTTAATTTGGGTTGGGTTTTCTAAATGTTGATTGAGTTTGTATATAGTATATAGGTATTTAGGGCTGGGACTATAGCCTAGTGACAGAATGCTTACCCAGCATTCTCTCTCTCTCTCTCTCTCTCTCTCTCTCTCTCTCTCTCTCGCTCACACACACACACACACACACACACACACACACACACGTGTGTGTGTGTGGGAAGAAAAAGGAAAGAAACAATAGAAGAAAAAAAGGAGTTTCATATATTTGAGTATTTCTGTCCTTCACTAGAATTATACACATTTTAGGCATGACTGCTACTTTCTATCACAACCATACATTTTAAACTTTTTGAAATAATTGTAGATTCACTTGTATTTGGAAGGGACAGCATGCAGCTCTTGTATACCCCTCACCCAGGTGCCTAAATAACATCTACAGAACTATAGAGTGCTACTAAAGCCAGGAAATGGACATTGCACTTTTTAATTTTTTTAAGAGGTTACAGATTGCCTCATACTTAGAATCCTGTGGGGATATTATGTGGCCACCCTGAGTGATGACTACACTGAAATAGGAGAAGTGGACGGTTTCGTAATTACCTGACAGTTGTCTGATTTCTTAAATTCAGAGCTGATTTAGACTATTTGGTGGAACAGCAATGTCTACATTTAATTATGCATGAAGTCTCCTTTCCTCCACTACATGTGATTAACTTTACTCCCCAAGCCAAAAGTGGATAAGGCTAGAAGGCAGACCCTGGCCCTCCACCCTCCCTCGTCTTCCCTTTTGCCTACAGCAACACTGGTTTAGCTGTCTATAACATGGAAATTTTATTTATAGTTTTGTCTAAGGAAGGAAAAGGAATGTTTAAGCTAGTGGGTTAGTACAGAAGGCTTTATTAAAACTAGATATGTGATGCACAGATGAGAAAATCCCCACACCATTCATCAGAAGTATGTTATTGCCTAGCTAGATGCTTTGAGGGTTTAACTTAGGAGAAAAATATAAAATGCATAAGAGCTTAAGCTTTGTAGGAAAAAAAAATGTGCCTTAGAAAAATAGGCCTAGTAAAAGATACGTTTGTCAATTCAGTAATTCAAATCTGATAATAGAAAAAGATGTGCTGATGTCTCTACCTTCCTTTGACAGTTCTAATTGATAAAGACCAGAGTCCAAAATGGAAACCAGCTGATCTTAAAGAAGTCACTGATGAAGATTTAAATCGTTATTTTAAATCCCTGGGAAGCAATGATTTGAAATTCTGAGGTGGCCAGACTTCTAAGGTATATTTTGGAGCAAGGATCAGCAAGTCACATCAGGGCCAGATCTGGCATGTTGCCTGTTTTCAAATGGTCTGCAGGCTAGGAAGGGTCTTTGCATCTTGAAATGATTGGGAAAAGACATCAAAAGACTAATATTTCATGATATGACAGTTACATGGAGTTCAAATATCAGTCAGTGTTGGTAAAGCTTCATTGCAACATAACTTTACTCATGTTATTTATGACTGCTGTGAGTGGCTACAGCACAGATTGGATAACCTGCAAAGCCTCAAGTGTTTACCGTGATCTTGATCAGAAATGGGTTATTAGCTTTTTTTAGAAGATGGAAAATTTCTAAGGGTTGTAGAGATTCTTGAGTTACTACATCTAATTAAAATGGGAACTTTGCTTTTCAATATGGTTTATATGTTAGCAAAATTGTATATATCATACTATGATTGTAAAAAATAAAGACCCTGAAATTTGGAGGAGGGAGTACTATGTTAATGCCTCATAAAATTTCCTGTTAGTGTATTTAAAAATACTGTACTAGAAAAGTTCCTCTTTTTAAGTTTTTTTAATTATTTTTATTTTATGTGTATGAATGTATTGCCTGCATGTATGTAAGTGCACCCATGTCATGAGGTGCCCATAGAAGCCAGAAGAGGGCACAGATCCCCTGGAACTGGAGTTATGGATAGTTGTTAGCCTCCATGTGGGTGCTGGGAATCAAACCCAGGTCCTCTGCAAGAGCAACCAGTGCTCTTAACCACTGAGTCATCTCTTCACCCTGAAGAGTTCCTTTTATAAACATTAAAAATGTCAAGTAAAGAAAAAAAAGTCTTCTGAAGTTTTTTCTTTATAATGTTAACTCAGCCTTAGCCTTTCCTAAAGTCATCAGAATACCTACCCCTGTTGGGAATGAAAACAGTATTCTTGTTATATGCAGTATTTGTTAATCTGGAAGAATGAGGAATTAAGAAATTCCTGTCTCTAAGATAGACATACTGCCTTTTGTAAGTTACACTAAGCCTTCGTGTGATAATTAAACAGTTAAAACATAAATATTTTCAATAATTGGTATTCAACAGGATGTTTTTAAGGTATGCAAGAAACTGTGAAGAGTTCTAAAGTCCTTAAATTTCTAAGTCAGAACAATTTTTATATTAAAAGTCAGCTAATCATATTTTGTAACTTACTGTAATGTCTCCTTAATTCCAAACTCCTGCAAACTAAGAGAACTTGAGATGTATAAGAACAAAAACCCAACAGAACTGAAAAGGGCACTGAGGCTCATGCCCTGCATTCGAAACCACTGCTTTAAATTCTCTCAGTTCTTAGTCTGTTTGACATGAGGGCTTTTCCTTCCAAACAGTACAGAACAGGTCTGAAATACAGATGCCATGGTGTTGGACATGCTCTACATTTCTGTTTTTGAAGCTCCTAAATTAGACCTTAATGACCCAAGAAATTATCTGTACAAGTACACTTCTATTTACTTCATACTTGGTAGCAATACAGAATATAAGGTTTTATGTTAAAAAATGCCAAAGTGTACTGTGTTGAAAAGAATTTGCTTCAATTGAATGATAACTGACAGCTAATTGCAACTAGACTTTTATTACAGTTACAAAAAATGTTTTCACAAAAATATTTGGGGAAAAAAATACTACTTCATAGTTAACATTGGGAAGAAAACTTGCTAACAGAACTTGAGTTCTATAAATCAAGAGACAGTTTTATTCTTTAGAGCCAGTGCTGTGGCTCCAAGGAAGACATGGCTTATTTGGTCATTTCAAGACCAGATGAGAGCATTTTGTTTAGACACTGTATTTGTTAGAACTTTATAAAGTACTGTTTCTAGGCAGCAATTATGTTTCTAACTTCCGATTCCTAAAATAATACAATGTAGATGTGCACTCTGTCTCCTCTCATCAAATGTCATTGATAAGTAGGGTATGAGTATCATGCTAATTCTGTGTTTATTTTTAGTGCTTACAAGATAATTTGACACAAAGTATTTCTTTGGACCTAAGAGAATCATTTTTGTCCCCTTCATAATTGTGCTTTATATGGTAATAACCAAGGCAGATTGGAGAGAACTGACAAGGCAACTAAAAGGGGAATTCTAGGATCAAAGGCCTGTGACTGAGAGGTACAGGAGGCAGACAGCAGGAAGGAGCAGTGAAGCACGCTGGGGGTTGAGAGACTCGTAAATAAGGAATCAGTCATTTCTTTCCTCTGCCCATATGCTGCCACAGTTGCCCTGGAGGTCCCTTTGCTGATAGAGGTGCCTCTGCCCTTACACTCGTGTTCCAAACAGGCCCTTGTCCAAGTGCTAATGAGTCTTTCAGGATCCACTTCACAGGACTCTTTTTCTTCTCACTCAAGAAAGTGAAGATCAAATGCTTGAATATAAAGGTATGAGAGGCGCCTAATTCCTTACTAAATATGTTTCATTGCCATCAAGGCCAAACTTTATCCTAATAACTATCCAATGGAGTATAAATTCTGTTTATTCAACTCTTCTTCTCCCACATGATTTATCCACTAACCCAGTGTGTAAGTTTTGTACTTTCTTGTTCATGGGTTGACATACTTCAGCATATATTTCAAAGATAGATCTTGGAAGATATTATGTACATCGTTACAAAAGCATGACTCAGGGTGAGGGCATTTTACTTGCACCATGGAAAAACTGCCACTGCAGTTGCTGAGAGAGGGTGACAGCACAGAGTAGACCTCTCGCTAGATGTGGATCTGGAGCCTTCCTGTCCTACCCTTGAAGGATAAGCACAGGACAAAGAAATAAACCTGAAGCTAAAATACTTAGCTGTAACTCAGACCCACTTGCCATTGTCCCTGGGCAAATTAAAGGATTTAGTGGAACATGCTGCTTTCTATATCTTTGTGTTCTTACCAAAATATGCATTGTTTTATATCCTTAATTATACTTTTAAATGGCAAATGACCTTGCCACAAGTGTCCTATGAAAAAAATGAATGAAAGATAGTATAATCTCAGCTTTTCATGAGTCATTAGTAAAGACACTCAAAACTGTACTTCCCCTCATAAGTTAGACGTACTTATGTAAAACTTGGCCTTATGTGCACGTAGTTGTAAGAGCAGGAGCCATTTTCAATTCTTTTGTCTGCTAGATTAAGTGTAGTGAGAAGTCTGAATCCCAGGGCTCATTGAAATTTGCATGGAATGATCGATCCAAAAGCAAACTGAAGGATGGCACATCAATCGCCTATTTCTTTGCTCCTATAACTTGGTGGATTCACGCTATTTGACTGCAGGTATGAAAGTATTAAAATTAGAGGTAGCTTTTCTGCCTACTGACAAAAGCCAAATAACATGTTCAGTTCATTAAAGACATTATGTCTTTTTCTATCATTCTTTAGATGTCAATGACACTGGTGCATTATCTTTAAAGTCTAACATAAATGGACTCATTTCCTTTCCATTTATAAACTCAGTGTTTAGCATAGCTTCATGAAATGTAATTCTAGATGCTCAGCACTATTTTCTTTCAGATTTTGTCCTTAGCATTTTCCTCCCTGTCTCCTAACTCTTCTGTTACTATTGATCTTTAAACAGTTTTTAGTCCTTTAAAAAAAGATGTGTGTACACTATGACAGTTTAAAAAAATGGCTATGAAAATAGCATAATGTATGGCCTAAAATGTCCTAAAATGGCATGTGTTACTGAAAAAAACAACAACAACAACAACAAAAAACCCACGGCAATCTGGGTTTCATGAGTCAGTGACAAAATGGAGCAAGTCCCTTGTACCATTGTCCCTAGGACAGTAAGGCTTCATGTGTTTAGCCCTGACACCAAGCCCTAATTTTACCTTGCATACTGGGTTTCTGTTATTTTTAACATTTATAAAAGATACTTAAGAGCCTCTTAATGTGATGAACATTAATGTCATGACTTCTATAACATGTCTTTTTAAGATGGCTTTATGTGCGGAGTCATCCAATAACAGCAGTAGTTAAGATCCTGAGGCTCAAAGTGGTAGTTATACTTTTCATCTACAAAAATAAATTTCTTACTGAGAATGGGGTTTAAGGTGGCCTTCTTCTGCACAGGTTGTTTCCTAATGGTAGGTAACATGTCAGGAAGTGGGGATCCTTGACAGTGGTTTCAACAAACTCAACCTTTTGTGGATCAGGATGGCAGGAGTTCCATTCCCTTGCCAAAACATTTTAAGAAAAATCCTTTTCATACCTGGGCTTTTTTGATTATAAATTAACAGAAATAGTCATCTTAAAGTCAGTTCTTTAAAATAACTATTTGGAACTTGGGCACTTTTTATTCAACATTTTCTTTGGTAATGCCAACACTGCCTCAGAAGAAAGTGCTGTGACATACAGCTGATTGTGGTGTCACAAGACCTGTCCAGCCCTTCCATGGACCATAATTCAAGACCAAGCAGATGCAGATTGCTGTTGACATAGAACTGCTTAAAAATCACATTTCATCATAGGCATCCCTACACTAATAACATTATCATAGACATGTTTTTACATCCAGTTGGAATTTTTAAAACTTATTTCATGTATTTAAACTAGCACCAGCTACATCCACAGTTCAGGAAATGTCATTCATTGATGGGGTCAGAGCCCTCACTCTCGATGTATGGAATGTTGTAGTATTTGATGTTTTCGCATGCCCACTGCTGCATGGCATCCTCTATGATTTCCTTGGCCAGGCCCTCTGCATATTCAACCATCACAGTATTGGGTTGTTCCTTCACTTCCTCGTGGACTTTGGGGGTATCTGGAGAAGCCGTCCTAGGTTGGCAGCTGTCTAGCATAAACCCTTCCTGAATCTCTTGTAGCCTCTCAATGTCCAGTGTGGTAGGAAATGGGAACATTTGCTTTGACTTCATGCAGCCCATGTTCAGAGCTTTGGTAGAGTAAATCAGGCGGTGCTGGCAGAGACTACTTCAGCAGCATCTTTGGAAACAATGCAGGGCCGTTCCCACAATGTGGACTGGGGTTTCCCACTCAGCCCACTTTGGCGGTCACTGCTCCCCTTCACCCTTCACGTTTCACGTTTACCTGTTAAGAGAAGGGAGTTTTTATTTTGAGGTTATATGTGATTCAGCGATGTAGAGATAGCACCACAAGTTCTCACTACTCTAGTTCCTCTGGAGAGAAAATGAGCTATCAACAAACAACTTTATCAACTGAGGTAGGGAGAAATCACTCAGTGGGTATAACAGTTCAGAAATAAAACAATTCAAGCTCTTGAAAATTTAATTTTTATTATGTGTATGAGTGTATTGCCTGCATGTAAGTGCACCTGTGTTCTGCAATGCCTACAGAGGCCAGAAGAGGGTGTCAGATCCCCTGAAACTGGAGTTACAGATGGTTATTAGCTGCCTTTTAGGTGTTGGGAACTAAAACAGGGTCTTTTGCAAGAGTGGCCATTGCTCTTAACTACTGAACCATCTCTCCAGCCTCTTGAAAATGTTAGGAACCCTATCTAGATTTATCTGTACCAGCAAGTGATAGCACATGGATCAAATTCCAATCATCTAACTGTTTTAATTCTTTCACAATTTCATATATACATGTTAGATATTTATGATGTACTTTGATCACATTGCCCTCTTACTCTTCCCTCCTCTCCAAACATCTTCTTTTTACCAACAAGCCCATGTGTGTGTGTGTGTGCCACTGCATTTAATTAGGCTAAGCATTTATAAATAAACTTTATCATAATACAGCTCATTTGTTCATTTGTTTATGCATTGTGTGTGGCCGCTTTTTTGCTAACAACCATGAGATTGAATTGTTAGGACAGATTGTGACCACAAGGCTCCAAATGCTTACTCTTTGGCCCTTGGCAGGAAGTGTTTGCTGATTCCTGATCTTAACTGAAGAGAAACAAATCAAAGCAAAGTGTGCTCCTGCCACCAGCCTCACAGGCCTACATGTCTAGAGCTACTATTCAGGGGACTTTGTCCCCTGGTCATATCTGTAGAACTGGAGGAGCAGAGAATGGTGATCCTTACGCTAGTGCAAACTCCAGATAAAACATGTAGAGGAGCCACCCATTTTTTTTCTTCTGAATGAAATATCCCTATGAAGCTATATCAAAAGCTCAGGTTAACTTTAATTATATTTAAAGGTTTCTTCTAAATATCCTCATCCTACCCTTATTTGATGATGTTTAGACAGGAAGTAGGCTGCATGCTGTGGTATATCTTTTGTGAACCCTAGGTCGGTGTCACCGAATGAATCTGAAGATAAACCTTCAGGGTATATTAACACACACACACACACACACACACACACACCCCCCACACATTAGGACAACCACCTGTACCAGAACACAGGTAACATCTTTGAGGATGAGGTCAGCAGTTCCTGTTCACAGTTCTGAGTATCACTTAGTTCTTAGACCTCAGACATAACTTTAAAGTCATAAAACTAAACTTACTGCTTCTAAAACCACTGATCTCTTGAAAGTAAAAACACCATATGCCTAATTCATTCCTAATAGTTTATAATCAAAGGAAAAGTTAACCTTTGCCAGACTTAACTGTAATAGTTTTCTAAAAGTACCTAGTTTTTCTCTTACTAATACAACTGGCCCCAACCACTAAGCAATGATGATATGGGGGGCATAGAGGAATTCCAGTCTTGTATTTTAATTTCCTTTAATTCTGTATGTTTCATGTTCCAGATTTCAAAAGGGAGCACAGAATATGTCCAGTGTCTGTTCTGTTTACTACCTTGAACTGCTTGAAGATTGGGTCTGCCTTGGTTATATATCTCTATCATGTAATGACTTATCCCCAGGCCGTTTTGGTCTGAAGGTTGGTTATGGGAACTAGGCATAGTTAGCATGAAAATGATTAGATAATTCAGCAAGTGTCATAAATAAAAGCATGAGTAGAATCATCAGAATAGCCTGTTTTCTAGGATCTTTGATTCTGCATAAGCAGTTTCTAGTTACATTACAAAGTAACCAATATCAGATTCACCTCATTAAAAAAAATCTGGAAAAATATGTCAGCAGGTATTTTCAGGCTTTAAACAATAAGCAACAAAATACCCAGATCTTAAGAGAAGGGAGACACAGGATATTAAACCCCACACTTGAACATTCGAGGGTTCTGCTTGGAAGTCTTCCAGCATTATTAGAGTTGAGTCCACGGAGGATGGCAGTTCTGCTGTGCTGAGGGAGGAGAAGTCTGCGGTAATGAAACATCTGGGATTTACAAGACATTGAGGAGAAAAAGATGCTGTGGGAGAGGTAAAGGTGTGTAGGGACTTCTCAAAGACAGAGCAGGGATGTGTACATGCAGGATAAGGATCTGAGATAACCAGTGTTGTATAGGACCATCCTTCAATAGACAGATGCCATCTTCCAGAGCTCAGCTTCCTCTGCCTGCTGGCCTTGTTGACTGATGATGCCTCTGCATAAGAGGGGCAGGGAGAATCATGGGACCATCACCTGAGTATCCAAACCAAATCTCTCAACCTATAATAAATAATCTGGCCCTAACTGCACGTGGCCTGAGACAAAGTCTACAGTATATATAGTATATAGACTGGGAAAGACTAAGGGAGGGTCTTTATTTATGTGACTATGGGGAAGCCATCATCCGTGCTTCACTGAAGACTTTACAGTAAGGCCTTAGGAGAGTGCACCAACACTCCTATAAATAAACCCTTACATATTGCTCTGTAAGTAAACCAAATAAACTCATTGAAATTGCTTCCCAGAGTGCATTTTGGTGGAATTGTATCTCCGTTTGTCCTTGGGAACAAGGTGGGGCATTGTTTACATCCTCCCTACACACAAGGAATTTGAGCACCAGCAAACCAAAGACAACCTGCTCTGAGACTCAGCAATGAACCATGATACCAGAATTATCCAGTAGCAGGAATCCTTAGAGTTGTTGGCTAGTCCAAATGAAGAGTTCTAGAATAGGGCTTGGCAAGAGTCTTACAGAGCTAAATAAGTCTATGACTTAGGCTTGTGAGCCATATCACTGTAGACAGTGCTTATGCCCCTTTCAAAATTCATGTTGAAATCTAATCCCTCATGTGATAGTATTTACATACTATTTACACACTATCATATGAATAGAGCCTCTGAGAAATAATTTTAGGGTAATACTGCCCTTATACAGAGACTCCAGAGAACTTCCCTACACTATCTTGACAGAATGCAAGCAAGGAGGCCATTTATCCACCATGGCCCTATGACTCCAAACTGAATCTGCTGGGCCTGAACTGAAATGGACTTCTCAGCACACAGAACGATAAGAAATAAGTTTCTGTTTATAACCACCCAGTCTATGGTATCTGGTTGTAGCAGTCTGAAGAGACTGAGATAGCATACATTACAACTATTCATTTCTGCCGTTACAGCACAAAAGCAGCCAACATATAAATAAATGAGCAAAGTCACATTCCATTAAGACTTCAATTCTAAAAGAAGGGAACCAGCCATTGGCCATGTTGAACTTTAACATGTAACATTTAAGAACAAAATTACCATTTAAACAAAGATACATAATCTGGACTCCAGAATATTCACATTTCTCTGATGGTCTGTTCACTCTTCATTCTTTCCTCTTTGAATAGATTTAATTAGCTAATAGCTTTTAATAGCTTGAAAATTTGAGTAAGTTCTATTAAGTTCTGTTAATTACCAAATGCTGTATCATTTGGAGGTCTAATGGTAATCTTTTCTTGATGAGAAGTGAGGTCATTTTCTCACTTGACACGTCGTCATCTCTTTTTTTTTTTTTTACTGGATAGTTCATGAAAAACACTTATATACATAAAATAAAAATAAAATTTTAAGGTGGACTGAGGAAGACACCAAATACCAATACCAATACACACATCTACACATAGACACATACGAAATACCTGAATTCTTTAACAAATATATAACTGAGTTCTTAATAGTATGTTCATTATTATTTGTTCTTTAATAATGGATACAAGAGGAATATTTTCTCTCTTTTTTTTTTAAGAATCTATGAATTGGGTATTAAGTGTTGGTCCTCTGGAATATTTAGAATCACTGACCTGAACTATAAATTTATAATAGGATCAAATGACCCCAGTTAAACAAACAGACTCCATTTAATGTTCATTCTCTTCACCAAAAAGCAAACACTAGAAAGGGCATAAATATGATTTTGATCTATTTGAAGGTCACCAACAGAACACCACAGTAGTTTCATCATCCGGCTCAGAACACATGTGGGGTGCAGCTGCTCACTAACGGCAGCCTCAGTGAGCTAGCGCCTCTGTAGTCACACTTGGGGCCAAAATTTCTCAAGTGAAAAGGTAGAAAAATTAGCGTTGGTAAGTGCAAGGATAATGTTTGAGGTTCTTGCAAGCCTGACTAGAACTGGAAAGTTTGGTTTCATATATTAATCAGCCTTTACCTCAGACATTATGAAAATTAAGATCCTGTAAGTGAAGGATCTAGAACTTCCTTGGAACAGAGATATGCTGTGCTATCCCCCTTCGTATCTCTCTGGATCACCTCCTAAACCCACGTTCATCAAATTATTACTTATTTTAAGTGATTTAAATCAATATTGTAATTAAGGAAAGAAGTATAATTCAAGATTGCCAACAGTAATCTGGGGAGTTGGAAGTTAGGATGGGGTGATACATTTATCAGCTATGAATACCCCTCAGTCAAACCCTCCATGTAGGGAAAGACAAAGCAGGCATTGTTTCCCCCAGCCCTTCTGGCCTTTACTCTGGGTGCTGTGTGGGTCCCCATAGCTTCTGTTATTGATGACACATATTGAACTTGAACCTGCAGCAGTTCCTCCAGCATTGTAAAATAAGTCCTGGAGGAAAGTGAGAAGTAACTTTTGACTAATTAGTTAAGAAATCATGATCTAGAACCTCTACTCACTGCTGCCCATTGAACCGGTACATGACTCAATTCTAACTGCCTCCTGGGTCACATCTGTTTGCACATATGTGTGATTACATTCGTTTTTAAATCATGCTGTCTTTTATTGGTTTGATTCTCAAGCACTAGTCACTGAACCTAGGACAGCAAA